GATACCGCCCTCATCACCACATAAACCTGGCATAATGGTGTCCCCCTGTAATCTCAGCACTCAGGCAGGAGGATCAGGAGTTCAAGGCCATTCCCAGTGACAAAGAGAATTTTTTTTTTTGGTTTTTCGAGACAGGGTTTCTCTGTGTAGCTTTGCACCTTTCCTGGAACTCACTTGGTAGCCCAGGCTGGCCTCGGACTCACAGAGATCCGCCTGGCTCTGCCTCCCAAGTGCTGGGATTAAAGGCGTGCGCCACCACCGCCTGGCTTGACAAAGAGAATTTGAGGCTAGCCTGGGTTACATGAGACCTTGTTTCAAAACACACACACACACACACACACACACACACACACACACACACACACACACACACAAAGGGGGGCGTGAGGGCTGGAGAAGAGAAGGCTCAGCAGTGAAATACCTGCTGCTCTTCCAGAGGACCCGAGTCTGACTCTCAGCTCCCAGGGTGGGCATCCCACAATTGCCTGTAACTCCAGCTCCGGGAGATCAGAGGTGGAGGTATCTGGGTTTTGCTGAGGTCCACGGAGGCAAGGCTACTTCCTCTCAGTTAAAGGAATAGAATCTGGGGCCAGGCACACATGTGATGCACATACATACAAGAAGGCAAACACTTACATATACATATATAAAGAATAAAAATCAATAGCTAATCCCAGTGAGTCAATCACATAGCCAGGAGTCCACCCCTTCAAGAAATCTGAGTCACCTGAATACATGTTGGACTAATTAGTCTTGCTTTGACACACAAACTAGAGTTATCTGAAGGGAGAGAGCTTTAGTTGAGAAAATGCCTCCTAGAGGTCTGGCTTGTAAGGCATTTTCTTCATTAGTGATCAGTGGGGGAGGGCCCAGCCCATGGTGGTGGTGCCATCCCTGGGCTGGTGGTCCTGGGTTCTATAAGAAAGCAGGCTGAGCAAGCCATGGCAAGTGCAAGCCAGTCAACAGTACTCCTTCACAGCCTCTGCATCAGCTCCTGCCTCCAGCCAGGCTCCTGCCCTGTTTTGAGTTCCTGTCCTGACTTCCTTCAGTGAACAATATTATGGAAGTGTAAGCCAAACAAACCCTTTCTTCCCTGGCTTGCTTTTGGTCATGGTGTTTCGTCATAGCAATAGCAACCCTAACTTGTAGGTGGAGTTTTCCTGTCCTGACCACCCATTCCCAAATAACCAACACAGAGTCTTAATATTAATTATAAATGATCAGGCAATAGCTCAGGCTTGTTACTAGCTCACTCTTACATTTAAATTAACCCATATTTCTTATCTGTGCTTTGCCACGTGGCTCAGCATCTTTTCTCCGTATGGTACGCTCATCTCGTTCTCTCTGTGTTGATGGCAACTCCTCTGACTCCACCCTTCTTCTTCCCAGAATTCTCCTAGTCTGGCTCTCCCACTCAATCTCTTTCTGCCCAGCTATCGGCCAATCAGCTTTTTATTAACAGTGAGAGCAATGCATGTTCTTTTAATTTTTTATTTTTATTTTATGCACATTGGTGTTTTGCCATGGTTGTTGGGTCCCCTGGAACTGGAATTACAGACAGTTGTGAGCTGCCATGTGGGTGTTAGAAATTGAACCTGGGTCCTCTGGAAGAGCAGTCAGAGTGCTCTTAACCCCTGAGCCATCTCTCCGGCCCCTGAGAGCAACATATTTTCATAGTGTACGCAAGCATTTACCCCTTTTTGTCTAAATAAAAAATGAATGTTTCAACTTTATCATAGTAAAATTTCATACAACAAAAACAGTTATCAAGTAAGAATTACGGTTTCAATATCTAGTCCATTTGTATTTGGCAAAATTAGAGAAAATACTCTATTGTCTATCTTATCTTGGTTGAGTCTGAAGTTTCACATCTAATTTACCTTTTATCATAACTAAGGAAAACTATAATTATAACTATCTAGTCTTCAACTCTATCAAAGACCCCAGAAGGATCTATCTATATCTATCTATCTATCTATCTATCTATCTATCTATCTATCTATCTATCTATCTATCTATCTATCTATATCTATATCTATCTATCTATATCTATATCTATCTATATCTATCTATATCTATATCTATCTATATATATATATATATATTGGTTTTTCGAGACAGGGTTTCTCCGTGTAGTTTTGGTGCTGTCCTGGATCTCTCTCTATAGACCAGACTGTGTGAGTGTATGTCGTATGAGTGTAAGTGCCCAGAAGAGGGCGTCAGTGCTCTGGAACTAGAGTTACAGTTGGAAGGTATTTCTGAGCTGCCTGGCTCTGGGTGCTGGGACCTGAGTCCTCTGCAAGAACAGCAAATTCTCTTCTTCACCACACCACCTCTCTAGCTTGTGTTTCTAAATCCTTATCAACAAGACTAAGAACCCCAAAGAGGGGCCCTCAGATTCGCCGGCCACACTGCCTCAGTCACCCGAGGGCTGGGAATACAGGATGAACCACCAAGCTTGGTTCTGCTTGGTGGTTTTAGAGGTCACTGAGGAATGTGTGTTCTGTGTGTAGCTGCCAAGCTTTTTAACTTCCTTCCTGTCTGAACAAAGTCGAGAAGTGGAGATTAGATTACATCATTAGTCCCCTTTCAGACCAGGTTGGGGCACTTTGCCAAACTAACTCTCAGAACTGAGCGTGTTCTCGGAATTTGATTCCAGACCATTTGATGGGCCAAAAGCCATGCCCACAGTTCTTTCATACTTTTCCCCTAGAATTAATATCAGGTATAGGGCTTAACAAAAGGCCTATCAGGCTTCTGTGGGACCACACAGTTAATCGTGCTAGGAAGAACCCTTTTGTCTGGCTGAACAGATCTACAGTCACAGCCTTAATCCTTTCCATTTTTACTTTAAAGGGATGTGATAACCACGCCTTTGATTTAGTCTTTGCCCTAAAGCCACGTGGTAGACTGCAGACATGGCGGCCGATTCCACAGGCCCTGCCTGCACGCCTCTTTGCATCAGGATTGTGACAGTGCTCATGAGTTGGAGTCTTTTTCTCACTTTTCAGTGAGTGTAGCCAGGGGCCTTGTTCTCTGTCAGCTAAACCATAAAAGACCTGAAAGGGCTCGTGGAGCTGGGCATGTAGTATGCTTGCCTAGCATGGTGGGGGAGGCCTGGGTTCAAGCCCTAGCCCCGGGTATGGAGTGCTCTCTCCTGCTGATCTCCCAAACCCTTCTGTCTTTGTGCAGACACCTGCTGGAAGATGAGGGACCAGATGGAGCAGCCATTAATGATTCCAACCCAGCCTCAGCCCCAGCTAAGTTAGTCCAAACCAGAAGCCTTGTACAATCATGAGACACAAACTTGTCCCAAGTCGCTACGTTTTAGGGTAGTTTGTTATGATGCAAAAACCAATCGACACAAGTGAGGTGCTGTGGTTTAGGTACCGGTTAAGGGTGTGTACCCCAAGGATTCACATTTTGAAGTCGGCCTTGTGGTGCAAGGTAGATTATAGAGTCCCAGTACTTGGTGCCAGGGGTTGTGGTGGGTGTTATGAATTTGCACAGGGGACCCCGAGGGTATCCCGAGCATGCAGGGAAATATGCTGGGCAGATGCAATAGCAGTCTGGGCAGATGCATGCCATGCACAGGGTCTGGAGAGATGGCTCAGTGGTTAAGAGTACTGGCTGCTCTTCCAGAGGACCCTGGTTCCATTCCCAGCCCCCGCATGACTGCTCAAACTGAATGAAAATAAAGAAAAAGGAAAGGACATGGCTGCTCCTAGGTATGTTGGAGGAGAAAGTTCATTGTAGATAAAAGGGAGAGCATAGTCAGAGGCAGGGACGTCTGGGAGAGTCCAGAGTGGACATGACCCTGAGCCAGGTGAGGAGAGGGGGAGGGGAGAAGGAAGAGCCAGACCAAGAGGCCGAGAAGGTAAAAGTAGGCCAAAGAAGGGCAGGTAACCAAAATGGCTGGGCAGAGCCTCTGGGGGAAGGGCAGCCCAGACCCTGGACTGGAGAGCTGGGAGGTTGGTACAGGGTGGGGTATGCCAGCCATACCCTGTAACAGGTAGGGACTGAGGGATGCTGGGAGAACCTGGTGGCCAGCGTCTGCTTTGATATGTTCAACAGGCCCCTCAGCCATTTGTCTCAGGGTTTGAGACTTAATAAAAAACCATCAGTAACTCTAGATCCAGCGGGGCTCACACCCTCTTCTGGTTTTCGTGGACACCAGGCATCCATGGGGTGCACAGACATACATGCAAGCAAAACACACATGCGCAGAAAGTTAAGTTTCAGTTAGAATCCTTTTCCTTTCAATCATTGCAGAGGAAAGCAGGAAGGGGTGGGTTGGCCTCTTCAGGTACTTCTGTCCTGGAAATGCAGCAGGGCCTCTGCCTTTTACTTGTGGAGAGGTTGAAACATTTGCATAAAAGTCTTACTAGGTGGAGGAGATGAGAAGATTTGAATTCTTTGTGGTAAATGTGAGTTTTATAGTATTGGCTAAAAAAAAAACTTATACAGTGTCTTAGAGACTCCATAGAAATTTCTTAGGTGAATTTGGAGCATGCCCTTTGGAGGGATCATGGGATCCTAATCTCTGGCTTCTTGTTTTGAGACATTATCTCTTGGTCCCACGTGGATACATCCTCCATCCAGATCCAGTTCTCCCTAGAAGCTGAACAAGGCTGCCTTGTGTTGGAGTTTGAACCTCCAGAGCTATGAGGAAATTAATATTCTTTTCTTTATAAAGTTACAGATATCTCAGTACAGTATCAACAACAAAAGTACTAATTCATTGAGTCTTGCTGCTGAGATAGGGCCTTATGTGTCCCAGTTGGCTTCAAACTCATTATGTAACTAAGGGTGACTTTGAACCCTACCCCCACCCCTCCCCCCCTCCTACCCCCACCCCTCCCACCCTCCTACCTCCACCCCTCACCCCCACCCCAGACAGGGTTTTCCCGTGTAGTCTTGGCTATCCTGGAGCTTACTCCATAGACCATGCTGGCCTCCAATTCAGAGATCTGCCTGCCTCTGCCTCCAGAGTGCTGGGGTTAAAGAAGTGCCCGACTTTGTTTGTTTGTTTGTTTTGAGATAGAGTCTCACTCTATAGCTCTGACCACTGCTCCTGAAATTACCCAAACAGCGCCACCAACTGGGGAATAAGTATTCAAACACCTGAGCCTATCGACATTCGCATTCAAACCACCACAAGCCTAGGACTATATAGTAATGCTAAATTTGAGTTGTCTTATGGTAAACATATGGTATTGTATTTATGGCAATTGCTGTCATTATTTAAACTTAGTCTATGCTTCCAATTCCTTACTTAGAGAAGCGAGAATTTGGCTTCTCAACCCTGAAAGTCTCCAGATCATTAACTTCTGGGGATCACAGTTGCAGGCAGGACCAGATATACTTAACAACACACTTGGAATCCTCACTATGTTGCTCAGGCTGACCTTGAACTCTGGGGCTCAAGCAATCCTCCACTTCAACCTCCTGAAGAGCTGGGACTAAAGACGTATGCGCTCCTTTTACAGCTGATTTAAACCTCATCCTGATACTGATCAAGGTGCTTTGATGACGGTTTTCCCAGACGGTGTAAGACAGGTAGGCATAGTGCTCCGGTACCCAGAAGTCTTCCTGCCTCTTTCCAAAGTGTCTGAGTCCCAGGAATCACCCTTGGTTTGTGTTCTAAGATGGAACAGGGGCAAAGAAAGTTTTGATCATTCCTCCATTAAAGGAACTGAGGAGAGACAGAGTGGCCATCATAGTCTGTCATGTATCAGTTGGTCAATTAGAAACAGCCCCGGGCTGATGAAGGACTTTCTGACCCCAGCGTTCAATCCCTGAGTTGGTCCAGTCTCTATCCATGGCCCCCATGGCCTCTTGGCCTGGCCTGGGTATGTATGCCTGCTTCCTGTGATCTTACTCCTCGCTGCATGGGTGGTTTGCAGACTGGACCATGGTCACATGTCAGGTGCATCAAGTGTGTTCTGTGGTGGAGGAGAACTCGCCCTTCATCAAGGAGCCGGACACCGAGGTGCTGCAGGATGACCCACCCAGGAGTGACAGAGTTCAAAGGGTGATAGACTCCAGTCTCTTTCTCCAGCTTCCAGTAAGGGAAGGGGTGGGTGCTGAGGGAACAGGAGATTCCTCTCTTACCCACTAGTTCATGAAAGCCCTTTGCTTTCATTTACAACCCTTCACCACAGGAAAGAGCAAGGAAGGAGACATCCTTGTGATGAATAACATTCACCATCCCTAACTGACTCCCACCGGCATGCTGTGAATTGACATTGCATTTGCATCAGCTGGAGGGGTGTGGTGGTGCATGCCTTTAGCCCTGGCACTCCGGGGACAGAGGCAGGAGGATCTCTGTGAATTCAAGGCTATCTTGGTCTACATAGTGAGTTCTAGGACAGGCTGGACTACATAGAGAGACCCTGCCTTAAAAAAAAAAAGTTCCATGATAGGTTGCTCACACACATGTGAAAGTGTATGTTTGAGGTCAAAGTTTGATGTTAGATGTCTCCTCCTTCTCCTCCTCCTAATTTTTTAGAGATACAGCCCTCTCACTGAACCTGGAAGTCATTGATTTGGCAAGATGTGCCGTCCAGGGAACTCCAGGGATCCTCCTGTCTCCACTCCTCCAGAACTAGGCGTGTAGTGCACACTACACCTGGCTTTAGGAAGCTGCTGAGGATCCGAACACAAACACTGACCGAGCTGTCTCCCCGGCCCCCATTTCTCCGTCTGCTTTAGACGGTCTTGCTCTGTCTCCATCTTCTCATGTAGATAAACCTGAGCAATGCGCAGTTCGTTCCCCTGGTGACTTCGCTGCTCCCAGACCTGGGCCCTCACAAAACTGCACCAGGTACCCAGCCATATCCTGTGCTGTCAAATCTCCTAAGGCCTAGTGTTGTTTGTTTGGATGAAACACCCTGTGAGGGCCACAAACGTGTTCCATTCAGCCTCTGAATCAAACAGAGTTAACATACAGCCGCTTAGCATCCCCCAGAGGAGTCAGATTACAGTACCATTAGGTGCCCTTTGGAGGGAGAAGTCACTCCCAGTGGCCCTAGAGAAAGTAATTGGGAGCCAGTGGGGATATTGTTATACAGGGGATGAATGGTTCTAAGCACAATAAAAGCTGCTTGTGCAGTTTTGGTGGAATTGTGGTCGATCCACCAAGCATCCCGTTGCCTGTGCTTAGAGCAGGATGCCAGGTCCAAATGATAAAACAAACAAACAAAAAACAACAAAGAACAAGAAACAGCCCAAAACCAGCCAAACAAAACAAATAAAAACCAGTACACCTAAACATCTCCGCTCTTTTCTTTCTGTTTCTCTTACAGGGCAGAATAAAGCCACTTAAATGAGTCTTAGGAACCAATAGGGGGCTGACCACAACCCACATCAGTGGTGCTTGGACCACTGAGGATGCTTGGTTAGAATATGAAATGCCGAGCCAGGCGGTGGTGGCGCACGCCTTTAATCCCAGCACTTGGGAGGCAGAGGCAGGCGGATCTCTGTGAGTTTGAGGCCAGCCTGGGCTACAGAGTGAGTTCCAGGAAAGGCGCAAAGCTATACAGAGAAACCCTGTCTCAAAAAAACAAAAAACCCCAAAACCAAAACCAACCAAACAACAACAACAAAAAGAATATGAAATGTCTGCTGCAATTTTGTGTGTTATATGCTTGGTCCCCAGCTCATGGTGCTGTTTTGGAAGATTCTGGAACCGTTAGGAGGTACAAGCTAGTTGGAGGAAATAAGGGGGTGAGGCTTTGAAGGCTATACCTGGTCCCCAGTCTCTTCCTTGGTGTTTGCTTCTGATTTAGCATGACATGAAGAATCTCTTCAATCACGTTCCCACTACGGTGATGTTCACAAGTGCATGCGAGCCAAGCAAGGGTCATAGCCAAGTCCTGGGTTTGTTGGGCTGTTCTGGGATTGAGCCCAGGGCCTCTCATACACACACACACACACACACACACACACACACACACACACACACACACACACACACACACACACACACACACGGCAAATGTACCACTGAGTTCCTGGCCACCCTGATTTTTTTTTTTTTTAGACAAAGTCTCATATAGCCCAGGCTGACCTCAAACTTGCTATAGCTGAGGATGACCTTAAACTTCTGATCCTCCTGCCTCCACCAGCAGAGTGCCGGGATTAGAGGAATGTGCCACCATGCCTGGTTTAAGACCCTCCCCACTTAAGTTTTCTTTCTTTCTTCTTTCTTTCTTCTTTCTTCTTTCTTTCTTCTTTCTTCTTTCTTTCTTCTTTCTTCTTTCTTTCTTCTTTCTCTTTCTTTCTTCTTTCTCTTTCTTTCTTCTTTCTCTTTCTTTCTTTCTTTCTTTCTTTCTTTCTTTCTTTCTTTCTTTCTTTCTTTC